TATAATTAATGTTCTTATAATATGTGAATTTATAATTTATATATAAATAAAATATTTAACTATTTTGCCACATTTTCTTTAACCTTCCATTATTCGCGAAGTCCTGTAGACGCTATATATAAACCTTTACAGTGCTTTTCCACAAACTGTATTCATTAAGTGCACGCGTACTCCGTAATTTTCAGACTTAATTTTCTCGGAAACAAAGTCTTAATTTATTCTGTACTTTTGACTTATTTTTACCTCCCATCAGGTTGTATTATAGGTTTGCGCTCATCCGGTATATACATATACCTACGTATATAAGTAAGTTACCTTTACTATTATTAAAATTATCGCCTCTGTTATTTGATGTCTGCTAGCCTTCCTCTTTACTCTTTCTTGTTCCTTCAGAGCACTCCGACGATAATCACTCGTGAATACAATTATGTTTGCGCACGCACTAGTGATTAGAATATGATGATCATATGCGATGCGATTTATGTGACATTTTAAATGTTAATCATACGAAAACGCGTATTTATGATCATGATGATGATAAAGTAATGTGAGAAAAAAATACAAAATTACAAAAATCCTACCGCCTTGTAAATCGATGCAACGAATGGGCTTTGAACGAAGAAGAATTTTCAATAATTATCGAATATCGAATTTATATACCACAGACGTTAAGAGGTATTAATATATATTTAATTATGATTGTGCTTACTAATTAAACGCGTTGCAATCACCACTCGAATTGGAATCGATCTATTTCATGATTTTTGTTTACGACGAAAAAATTTGAAAACGCGTTGACATTTTACATTACGGGAAATTGAATTAATGTTTAATCGAGAGATATAATATTTCATTTGGAAATATACCGGACTGTTAATAATCGATCGATATTCTATTTATCAATCTTTATAAACCTTTATTAACCTTTATTAACCTTTCCGTTTATCAAACTAACAAATGTTAACTTAACATTTGTTAATTCTGATTTTGTAAATATTGTATTCGATTGAAGACCGATATTAATAAAATATTAAAAATTGAAAGTATTATAGAAGAGCTTACAAAGAATTATTATTATTACTATTAAATATTAATACAATAATATGAAATGAAACGCATGTAATTTATAACTCTCATTCGCTATCACTTCGATTTTTATTTCAAAAACGGATACATGTGCGAATAAATCTGTTCGGGTAGAAAGCCTCACTGCGTTTAAATATTAATTAAACGCAATGTATAGTTAATAACCTCGTGGATTGATAATCGCTAATAGTTCGTAAAAAAATGCTCGCGTTTCGCGTCTCTCAATACCTGTTCGCGATCGCGAGAGATAATACAGCACGCAGAACGGCACGCATCGTTGCCTGTCTGCTCGAAGCTCGCCAGACGAATGATAATTACGACGACCTTGTTGCGTATACACAAGAGTACGTTGTACACCGCAAATCATAACCGGTACGGTGCGCCGTATTGTTATGTGTACACAAGGTCGCCTTGTCATTCGCGCGACGAGCTTCGAGCCAGGCAGGCGGCGACGCGTGCCGCTCCGTGTGTCGGAACTGTCGTATTAAACTAATAGCACATTGAACATCTGAAATAGTAAAATCTAAGCAGTTAGCAAATTTATATTTTCGATTTGCCACTATTTACGTTAATGCCGTATAAATTCCGTGTGCGAATCAGTTATCTTGAGTGTCTCATATAGTAATCCGTCATTCCCGACGAAAATAAAATCGTAGCTTAAGTCAAATTTTAAAAGGAAAGAAGCGTAAATAAAATTTCTAGAAGGCAAAAATTGAGACGATAAAATATAAAAAAAAAAAGAGTAAACGTAGCTTACTTTTACGTTTCTCAATTTTCTTCTAAAAGCTTCATTTACGCCGCTTCTGTTACTTTTCTTTTATATTCGACTTACGCACTAATCTTTATTTTCTAGGGGACTGTGCTTGTGGGGGGGGAAGGGGGATTTTATACTTATTTCTTATCAAGAATAATTGCGTCGCGAAATGAGTAAAAGCGTCGCAACAAATAGCGCGAGTGATGAGAACGGAGCACATCGCGGGATAATTTTATATTGTTATAATGTATTGACGAACGCGGGTAAGCGATTGCGTCTTTTGAGTTGCAAGCTAGGCTACGAATTCGTGCGTTAATTAAATGGTGTCGATCCCCGCACAGTAGGCGTTCCGATTGCATAAAGCGTAGACAATACATGGCATGTCCGTTGATTTTTTCTTCGCTAAAAGCAAAGTCGGCTCGCAATAATTCAGTATCAAGAAAATAATGGAAAGTGCGTAAAGTAAATCATTTTAAATTATCAATATATATCGTGCTAATCGGTGTCATTACGATTAACGCGTTCCTCCATAAAGGTAATTATAAATCTCGCGTGCCGTTTCGTGCAAAATTCTAAAATAAATCAGTCATCTTGATCTTTTTGTCTCAGTATAGTTAATAACGTATTATATTCACAGATTTTGTACTCGTTTCTTTCTTATCAAGAATAAATTGCGTCGCGAAATGAGAAAACATCGCGAAAAACGCGTGAATGATGAAAACAAACTTCGCGGATCGGCGGGTAAACGATACGCGATGCGCCCGGGGATTTTTCCTTTTTTTTCGCTTTCTCTTCATTAAAAGTAAGTTAGCCCGATAATTATAAGTATCGGGAGTGTCGAGGAAATAATCGAATGCGTAAAATAAATTTTGTCAAATCAAATTATCGGTATCATTATGATTAATTGCGTCCCTCCATAAAGGTTATAAATCGTAACGACTGCAGGACGATTAGCGTTTATTCGACACTTTATTCAACTTGTTTGATATAATTTTCTCGACGCTCAATTATCTTGACGTATAATTACTTCGATCTGACTTACTTTCAGCGAGAATGAAATGAAAAATAACTACCTTCACGGCGCGCCGTGTATTGTTTATATACGATCGGAAATGTGTAGGGGAGACTACTGTAGGGGAACATAATGTTCCTTTGACCGGTTGTACCTTTAACCATTTGAATTTATAAAAAATCTATTGGATATTTTTAAAAGTAAAAATATGTAGTTTGTAATACGAGTACTAGAGGTGTTTTATAACTTATAATTATAACAATGAATAGAATTATACTCCTGTGAAAAATCATTCATTATTTTCAAGCGTTCGAATGAAGTAATCAAGACGCTTTTTAATCTCATAAAATGTTGTATATGTATTCTGTCTTATGTTGGAATTGCCTAAAATGTTAAATAGATATTCAGAAAAAATTATTTAAAACTTAATACTGTCAATCTTATCCTATAATTTATAAAAGTAATAACAAATAGAAGGTAAGCAAGCGTTGTACCTTTAACTGATATTGTACCTTTGACCAGTCAATACGACGTCGAATAATCATTTAGTTTAGCTATCTTATATTCCTCCAATATTAATAAAATTATGCTCATTAGACGCGATTTTGAATGAAATGAACGAAGGAGACTATTTTTGCCAGATTCAATCGTTTCATGTAAAAACGAAAATCGCATCTTTGTATGGCAAAGTTTATTTTTATATATTTTATATATAAAGTTGTATATATGGTGTAAAAAGACATTAAAAATATAAAAATATAATTAAAATTAAACTTTTGTTGAATATCTTATCTTTATACACACATTTTATACATTGGTTAAAGGTATAATACTTCCTGGTCAGAGGTACAACATGCGTGTTGTACCTTTGACCAAAATTCAATTTTTTTCTATTGTAAAAAAAGATGTATAAAACATAACAATTTAAATCTATAAAAAACATATGTTACTGTCAACACTTCAAAGAATATTTTAGAATTTTTAGACATCAAAACAACTTGCACAAGAAAAAAATGTCAAAATTGGTCAAAGGTACACCACCTTCCTTTACACTTAAAAAAGTGATCTTGCAGTTATATAACGAAAATTATCTAAGTACGAAAAATAGCTAAAATAGATAAATTTCTAACAAGTGCTGCGATATTGTATATATATTGCATCTAATCATATAGATGACAGAGATAGAATTTAGACCTAGATAGAATTAGAATAGAATTAGATAGAGTAGAATAGAATTAGATAGAGTTGAATAGAATTAGAATAGAATTAGATAGAGATAGAATTTAGAATTTACACCTATAAATTCTATGCGTATGATACATAATTTTCAGATACAAAAATCATCTATAATTCTAATTGAAGCAGCAAAATATTTTCTGCGTGTAGATAAACGAGGTCGACATCACTTGTCGTTTTGTACGAAATCGCATAATCTCATGCGCGAATCAATCATCTCGATAATTAGCTCAGTAATAGTGTTATACTCGTGATATTTATGCTCGTTTCTTTTTTATCAAGAATAAATTGTGAACGATTAAAGGCCATCACACGTACAAAAATTTTAGTCGTAATCGCATAAGGCCGTAAGCAAATCGGCCAATCACAGTCGAGCGTTTTTAAACTCGAGATCGTAATTTTGATTGTGATTGGTCGATTTACTTGCGACCTTACGATTACGACTAAAATTTTTGTACGTGTGATGGCCTTAATACAATAGAAGTCGTAGGGTTTTAAATCGTAGAAAATTGACCAATCACAGTCGAATATGAGAAGAATAATTAACTGTGATTGGTCAATTTTCTACGACTTAAGACCTTACGACCGCAACGACTTCTATTGTAGACCCCGCATAAAGACCATCACACGTAAAAAAATTTTAGTTGCAATCGTAAGTGTCGAAAAAAATAGCGGGAGTGGCGAGAACGGGCGTCGCGGAATCGTTACAGTGTATTGTGGGTAAGTGATCGCATCTTTCGGGTTGCAAGCTAGACTACGAATTCGTGCGTCAAGTGGTGTCGACCCCGTTTATCTACAGTAGTCCCCCCTACTGCCCCCTACACGTTTTCGATCGCATATAAACAATACACGGCGCGCCGTGAACGTAGTTACTTTTCGTTCCATTCTTGCTGAAAGTAAGTCAGATCGAAGTACTAGGTGTACAAATAAGTTTCCGGGTTTCACACATGGATGGCGCCAACGACACATGTAGTCGACATACATGTCTGAAGTTGTTTATTTTTTGTAGTTGCGACATCTAACGACAATAATCAATCATAATATTTCCAGTTTCGCGACGAAAAAAAATTTTTATGCAACAGTGAAAATGTCGGGTTTTGTGCCAAAAAAAACAGCATTCGCGGGAAGTCTTGCTTTTCTGCTTTCACTTGGGCAAAAATGCAGCTGAAGCACGTCGTTTGCTTGAGGAGGCTTACGGCGAACATGCACCATCGAAAATAACCTGTGAAGATTGGTTTAAACGCTTTAGAAGTGGCGATTTCGACACTGCGGACAAAGAGCGCTCCGGAAGACCGAAAACAATCGAGGACGCCGATCTGCAAGCGTTGTTGGATGAAGATGACACGCAAACTCAAAAACAACTTGCAGAGGTGTTAAACACGTCTCAACAAAGCATTTCCATACATTTACGTGCCATGGGAAAAGTTCAAAAGGAAGGAAAATGGGTGCCGCATGAATTGACTGAGAGACAGATGCACCGTGCCATCGCACTTCCATCGTCAAGGACACCATCAAAACGCTGAAATGGGATCTGTTACCACACCCGCCGTATTCACCAGATCTGGCGCCTTCTGATTACCACTTGTTCCGGTCGATGGCGCATGACTTGGCTGGACTACACTTGGCCAGTTTCGAAGAAGTGCGAAATTGGATAGATGAATGGTTTCGGACCAAAAACGAGTCGTTCTATCGTCGCGGTATTCATGCATTGCAAGAGAGATGGCGAAAATGTATAGCTAGCGAGGGACGATACTTTGAATAAGCCGCTTTTTGTTTTTTCTTGAAATTTTGCATTTTTCATTGATCAAAAAAACCCGGAAACTTATTTGTACACCTAGTAATTATCCGTCAAGATAGTTGAGTGTCGAGGAAATTATGTATCGAGCAAGTTGAATAAACGTTAATCGCCCTGCAGTCGTTACGATTTATAATTTTTGTTTACGTTCTTTCTTTATAAAGTTAGTTTAGTTAGCGAGATAGTGTGTGTTCTTCTTGATTTTCCTCTCAGTTTCCGTATTTATATTTTAATGATTTGATCATTAAAATAATTTTCGATCTATAAATCTATAGGTTTTCGATATAAAAAGAATATTGATAATGAAATTTATCCGATGTATCGCAAAAGTTGGAGGTTATGTCATGGACTTTTCTCGTGCGTCGCATTATTCCATACCCCCCGTGTTTGATGTATAAAATCTGCGTGTTTTCAATTATATCTCATTCGTTAAAAGCGAAAGATGCGCTCGTAAACACTGAGAATGCCGATTAAAACATCGCGCGATGATCGTACCTCGTTAATTAATTCACGATCGTTATCGGTCGATTCGCGCGCGCGTATGTGTGTGCGTGTGTAATGAAATGACCAAAATAGCGAGTGAAATAATAGGATCAAAAAAAGATTGGGATATTTCAACGATGAGCTGGCTCGGTTGCAGCTGCGGTCAGGATGGCAACGGCGGCGCAATGGCCGGTAAGTATCGAAAATCCGAACACCAATTGCGTGCACATATAATTAACATTTGTATGTTATCACTCGATACTTCGTTAATAATATAACGTCGTAATTCTATGCCTTTGTCAAATAAATACGCAATTTGAACAAATGAAGAATACATCGGTGATGACTCTAAAAAATACACTGTTAAAAATGTCATGAAATTTAATGTACTTTTAAGTTATATAAATTAAATTCAATTTTATGACACTAAATTTAATATATCTGCAACTGAAATATATTTGTGTACATGTACATGAAATGTAGTGTACTTTTCGTAAAATTTTACGAAGTTTAGTACATTTTTTTATTAGATTTTATGTAGATTTGCATGAAATTTAATATAAGTAAACATTAAATTTAAGTTACTTATAACTTGATTTTCATTGACAACATTAAATATTTTCAATGTACCTGCTTGAAATTTGCTTCCATTACTATGTAACGGAAGCAAATTTCTTTTCTTTTAACAGTGTAGCAGTGTCTATATAATTTTCACTGTTTGTGTTAATATTAACATCAATATGATACGAATTTAACATCATGGGTTTTAAATTCACACCTAATGGTGTTGATGTAAATATCAGAAATTTGAAGTCTATACCATATTGATATTATATAATATTAATACAAACACAGCGAGAATTATATACTCCGCATGGGTGTTAAATTCAGAGGTGTCAAATCCACACCGATATTTTTTAGAGTGGAGAGACGGATTTGATAAATTTTGATTATAAAACATTGTTTTGCAGAGGCAGTTGACGAGACGACGACGGCGGCATTACAGCAATCGGTGAGTGGATTTATTTAAAATTGTCTTGATTTGTGTTGATTTTGTATCGTTCTGAGATTTTGCACGATTACATTTATTTTATTGCGAATAGAAGAATGCAAACCCCAATTTTTCGGCAAATAGGATTTATTTTCGCTTTTTTATTTAATTTTATTTAATACTTTTTTATTAATTTGGCTCGCACAAGATATTTTATTGCCAGTACAACAATTAGATCTGTAATATTTTTCGAATAATATCTATTTTTGTTTATTTATTTGGTATTGTAATTTAATTTGCGTTTTTCTCGCAAGATTTCATCTCAAGGATCTTTTCGCCGGAAACAGTATCAGATTTCAATGTATCTTTCAGAAACGTTTTCAAGATCTTAACGTGACAGGTTAATTTTGTGAAAATTTTAACAATTAACGCGTAACTTCGCGTTAATTACTTATAATCACACCTTGGGAGTAGATCTGATCCGCTATATCTCTTTTCGTATCTTTGAAGATACATGCAATAACAGACGGCTAATGAGAGGGCAGAACATGTTGGACGGGGTATAATTAACTTGCACTGTAAGTGCATAATTATGTACACAAATCTGCTCCGCACGGAGCATGATTAATAAGAAAACCATGTTTATCGTAATACTGATTGCCTTGTCCGTATGTCACTCGAGAATACTCGAAAGCGGTACCGTGACTTCAAGTAAACGATCAGAATGTGCGATGCGATTCGTCTCGGAATATCGGATCTTGTTTCACATTTCATTTCCTACAGATTAGATATCTTTCAGCTAATAGACGAATATTGTGTAATGTCTTTATGAAGTACATTGTAAAGCTCATTCTATAATTGCATAAGTGTAATTGTAAGTGGTTGTAGTTGTAAGAATTGATCAATCACAAATATCACAATTGAATATTTTCCTCATATTTGATTGTAATTGGTTAATTCTTACAACTACACTTACTATAATATTTGTGATTAGTTAATTCTTACAATTATATACTTTCTATTTATAGAATTATTTATTTATTAAAAAAAATATTTATTATATATATATATATATTATTTCTCGTGATACAAAAATAAAAAATACAGTGAATGCAAAGAGTATTCCGTATAGGAGAGATATATTTTAAAAAAAATCTTATTTTTAGGAAGGTTGCGTTCCACAAGCACACGATACGCATGATCTTTTGTTCTTGTTTAATATTTGAAATAATAAGAATAATCCATTATACACATCATACATTTTACGGAACGCTAAAGTAAGCATTAATTAACAATTATTAACAAAAAATAAAATAAATTGTACATTTCTTAAAATTATTTTACTTAAAAAATGTATGATAATTAAAATATAGTATCTTAAGTGAAAATGAAAAATTGTATTATTTGAATACACAAAAGGTATTCATATAGTCGAGAAATTTAACGTCTAAAATCACGAACATAGTTACTTTCACGAAGCTCTTTTGTTTATATTTAGGACAGAACGTACTCACTTAATAAATTGTTAATAAATATTTATTTTCTATAAATATGACTTTTTTATAAAAATATTCTGTGTACTTTAATGCATGTAACTTTTTGCATTCACTGTAAGTACGGCATATATTCGTAGTTGCCAAAAAGAGATCAGTGAAGTAAAGAAAGTGAGAGATAACAATAAACTTTATAAAAATACTTCCATATTTTCGAATTAACAAAGTAATTTGTTTTAACAAAAAAGTTTTTGCCGAGAATCTTCTTTTCGAGAATATTTAATGAAAACGTTTCCGATGGCAAATCTCGACAAATCAATTCGAGTTCGGCTTTTTAGTCTTGGTCGACCGGAGAGGGAGAGAAGTAATAGAGCCGGAGAACGCGCGAGGCGTGGCTTTGAGCACGATCCCCCATAGCGTTTCATCGTACCCCTTTAATTCGGCGTATAACGCGACTCGATAACGACTCGCAAGCACTCTCGCCCACGGGGGCCGTTTTCACAGTGGAGCATTTCCTCCGGGACCGAATGTGCGACACGAGTTATAGGATGCGTACGCCTTCGCGCGGTCACTCAGTCAATAACGTTGATGAATATTCAATAATTCAGAATAAACGCCGACGAGAGAGAAATATGTAACCTTGGACATTCAGTACTTTGATGTTATCCTTTATGAAATTCAAACATTCCTTTTTTCGCACCGCTCTTTCAGCTATTGAGTAAAGGTTTTCGTTACAGAAAAATATGGTATATTCAGATGCAATTGTGGTTTTTATGATATTGACAATAATCTCACATACTATATTTATATACATATATAGAAATAAAATTTGATATCAAGACACTTATAAATTTATTCTTGTCCTTCCGAGTAATGTTCAGAAGTGAATTTACAAATGTTTCGATGTTATTTCGAAAATTTTTAGTAAGCCTTTCTTGTAGAGAAAAAAAAGTTATAATTAATATTAGTTACATCGATATTTTTGCCTCGTGACACTATAAGCGAAATCAGTTTCCTCTTTGCGTAGCTGCTAAATTTTTCAGTAACCGCGGGTGTTGTTTTCCCCTTCTCTATTGTCTCATTAAACATCGATGAGTGCCGAAGGGCGAGGTCCTGAGCGCTAGGGTGCCACTTGCCATCGCAGTCCCTCGTGATGTTCATTACCGCATTCATTTTCGCGAAATATACCAATAGTTAAAGTCCCCATCGAAAAGTTTTCATCAAATGGTGCTTTATTATATATATAGCACCGACCAATATTAGTGCCATGATTCGAATTAATTTATAATTATTAGAATTGCTATTGATTAACTTGATATACTTAAATATCTTGTTTTAACTCTCATTTATTACTATATAATAAATGTTACTATATATTATTAACAAAGTTAATACGAATATTACACAATGTGTCTTGTTAAGTAAAAGTTCCATATGTGATGCTTTCTAGCAAGACACACAGTGTAACAAAGTAATCGTTTGATCTCTGTTTAACATTGGCAAACAATAAGGTGTACAAGGTATGCTTCACT